GGGGCTCCCGTGAGCAGGGCCAACAGGGGCTGCGGGGCGGCCGCGGGCACCGGCCACGGCGGCTGTTGACGCCCGCTCCCAAGGGCGGCACCTCCAGCCAGGTCCCGGATGAGGAGGGGACAGGGAGGCAGCACCGCGGCCCGTTAGTGGCCCCCGGGCAGGTCCCGTGGGCACTGCACCAACCGCGGCCGCTCTCCGCACAGACATCCACTACTTCCACTGCCTGCGCATCGTGGAGATCCTCAAGGGCACCGAGGCCTCCACCAAGAACCTCTTTGGGCGCTACTCGTCGCAGCGCATGAAGGTGAGCGGGGCGCCGGGGGCGCGCGGCCGCAGCAGCCGGCGGCCTCCGCCACCCTCTGCTCCCTCCTTGGCAGGACTGGCAGGAGATCGTGGCCCTCTACGAGAAGGAGAACACCTACCTGGGTAAAGCAGCTCCTTGGCAGAGCCAGCGGTCCCTCAGCTGGGCTGAGGAGGGGGCGCCGAGGCCCCCGGGCCCCGCGGTGCCACGTCCCTGCGCCCGCAGCCGAGCTCTCCAGCCTCCTGGTGCGCAGCGTCAGCTACGAGGTGCCCTCGCTGAGGAAGCAGATCGGCCGGTGCCAGCAGGCCCAGCAGGACCTGGCGCGCCGCGAGGAGGAGTGCCAGCTGCGGGCGGGCGAGCTCCGGGAGCGCTTCGGCAGCGCCTGCAAGCAGTACGGCATCACTGTGAGCGCCTGCGCCCTCCCGGCGGGCCCTGCTCTCCCCTCTTTGCTCGGGCACTGAGCCCTCTCCTGGCACGGGCGCCCTGGAGCAGCCGCTGCCGCCTGCTCTGACCCCCCTGGGTCCCAGCAGCGCCCTGCCCTGTTGCCGGACCCCTTGTCCCAGGGAACGTTCCCCCGGTGCCCGGGGGGATTGCTGGGGTTTGCAGGGAGCTGCTTTTCCCAGCCCGCAGCCCTGGGCTTCCCCGCTTGCTACCCTGTCGTGTCCCCGCGGCGGCTCCGCAGGGTGACAACGTGCGCCAGGAGCTGCTGGCCTTGGTGAAGGAGCTGCCGTCGCTGCTGGCCGACGTCGGCGCGGGAGCCAGCGCGCTCCGCGAGGCCATCGAGCTGTACCAGGCCTGCGTGGAGTTCGTGTGCGAGAGGTGGGCAGGGGCTGCGTGCGGAGCTGCGGGGGCGGCCGCTGCTCCGGCCCTGCACGTTACCGCAGCAGGGCTGGCTGGGAGGTTTCCCAGGTTTGAGCTCTGCCAGGAGCACCCTGGGGTGCTGGGGACTCCCCGCTCTGGCGCAGCACCCATGTCCCCGTGGCGTCTCGCAGCTCCGCGGAGCAGGTGACGCCGCTGCTGCGGCACGTRGCCGAGAGAGGCAACACGACCGTCTATGAGTGGAGGACGGGGCTGGAGCCCGTGCGCGTGGAGCGGCCGCCGGTGGAGGAGGTGCCGGAGCCGCCCCGGGAGGACACGGTGCGTCCGGGCAGCCGCCTTGGCTGCTGCAGAACGCGGAGGCCTCTTGGGGCCACGGGCAGCTTGTGGCCAGGGGACGGCTGGGACACGGAGGCAGCATCGTCCAGAGCTGGAGAGAAAATGCCCGGGGTGGCCGGTTGGAGGTGGCTGGGGCTATTTTGGGGTCTCTGCTCTTCCCTGCAGATTGACTGGGGGGACTTCACGCTGGAGCCGACCCCCGGCGGTGCCGGCACCGCTGCCGATGGGGCAGCCCAGGGTGATGGGATCGACTGGGGCATCACGCTGGAGCCCAGCCCGCAGGTACGTCACAGCCCGGACCCGGGGCTGGGGACACGGCGCCCAGGCACCCCCGTCTCACGGGGCTCCCTGCTTTTGCAGCAGGATGATGGCATCGACTGGGGAGATGGTGAAGACGATGGGGTGCAGATCACGGTGCTGGAGGCTGGCACCGAGGGTGAGTGCAGCTGCAGGGGAGCGTGGCAGTCCTGACAGACCCGGGGACCTTTGTCCCGGCTGCAGGGCTCCCTTCCCTGCTGCTTTCTTGCCCCCCTCACTGCTGCTTGTCCCCCAGTGCCGGAGGGTGTCGCCTGTGGCTCTGATGCCCTGACGCTCCTGGAGAACCCRGAGACCCGGAGCCAGTTCATCGATGAGCTCATGGAGGTGAGCACGTGCCCTGGGACACAGCGGCAAAAGTCCCTCACTTCAGGGACCACCCAGTCCCAGGGCTGGCAGAGCGCGGGAGAGGAGCCTGGGCTCCTGACACCAGTGTCCCTCCATGCCCTCGTGCTGGGGACACGTGGCACCCGGAGCATCCGCGACTCGCTGTCCTGCTCCTCGCAGCTGGAGCTGTTCCTGTCGCAGCGGCTGGCGGAGATGGGCGAGGAGGCCGACGTGCTGGCCGTGAGCCAGTTCCAGCTGGCCCCCGCGGTGCTGCAGGGCCAGAGCAGCGCCCGCGTGGCCGCGCTGCTGGCCACCACCCAGGCGCTGCTGGGCCAGCTCAGCACCCGCCGCATGCAGCACCTCTTCATGATCCTCGCGTCGCCCAGGTGAGGGTGCCGCCACGGAGCGGGGCTGCGGAGACCCTGGGGCGGGGGGCCCCGAGCTGAAGGTCCTGACTCCTGGGAGCTGCGMTGGCTGGAGGTGCCAGGTGTCCTGGGGCACCGCGGTGGGAGAGGGGGACGCGGCGGGTGCTGAAGGTCCCGGCGCAGGTACGTGGACCGCGTGAGCGAGCTGCTGCGGCAGAGGCTGAAGCAGGCGGAGCTGCTGCTGCTGAAGAAGGAGACGATGAGCCAGAAGCGGCAGGAGGCCCTGGCGGAGCAGGGCGCCTTGGAGCCCAAACTCGACCGCCTGCTGGAGAAGACTAAGGAGCTCCAGAAACTGGTGAGGGGCAGACGGAGCTGCTGGGATGGAGCTGCCCGTCCCCCGGGGCCGGGCTCCTCGGAGCCAGGCCCCGCTCCGCAGCAGCTGCTGCCGCCCCCGGGCTCCGCCCGCCCCCTCATCCTGGGGCTCTGTTTTCCAGATTGAAGCCGACATCTCCAAGCGCTACGGCGGGCGCCCTGTGAACCTCATGGGGGTCCCTGCGTGAGGACGAGGACACCRTGGGCAGCACCCGCTGCAGCTCTGCTCCCCAGGGACCTCGCTGTGCAGCACCCGAGCCCTGCAGGGGCCGCGGATGCTGCTGGGGCCTGGCCGAGGGTTGGGCAGCGCGGAATAAAGCCCAATGAAGCCCTTCTGCCCTGCGGCTCTTGTCCCTCCTGGAGATCGGGCAGATCCCCTGAGCGCTGGCTCTCGCCAGGACAGAGCTCCTGTCCTCAGTGGTGGTGGAGGCGGCAGGAGCCCCTCACGTCCTCGCTGTGACCCCGGTCCCGGCAGGCCCCTTGGCTTTTGGGTGACAGGGGGACACCTGGCGCTGCTGCTGTCTGCCTGGGGGGGGGGGTCTCAGCCCCACCACATTGCCAGAGGGGGGTGGGAGGGAGGAGGGCAATTTGATTTTAATTTCATAGCAGAGCAGTTGATTCATGGCTCGTTGTTGCCGCCGGTGACTCCTGTAATGACTTTCCATCACCGTGACAAGTGGAGTGACACCGCTCATTATTCCTGCCGCTTGTTATCGYGGCGCGGGGGGGGCCGCGCCTCCCCCCGCCGGACAGTGAGCGATGGCCCCCATTAATCAGGGCCGCGCCGCGCGGCCCCCCCTGCCTGCGCCCAGATAAGGCGCCCGCTGCCCCCATCCATCCCCGTCAGCCGCGGGCCGAACCCGGACCGGGCGGTCCCGGCCTGCAGTGGTCAGACCTGGGCTCTATTGGGCCGAACCGCCCCCCCCAGCGCCCTCCCAACTTTGGTCCCTGCCCGGGGACCCCTTCATGACGTCATGCCTTGGCCACGCCCCACCCGTGCTATTGGCTCCTGTGTCCCTCTGCTCCCGCCTCCCGCTACTCTGCGGTAGCTCATTGGTCCCTTCTCCTCAAGGCGGAGTGTGACGTAGGCCCGGGGGATCCCGCCCGGGGGATCCCGCCCGGGGGATCCCGCGCCGTGTGCGGGGGTCCTGCGCGCTCGTGGCTCCCGCCTTGGCGCGAGGGGACAGGGGGATCCCGTCCCCGCGCACCGGATCCTCCGCGGGGGGGTCCGGTTCCTGCCGCGCCGCCCGGGCCGGAACCGGGACCCCGAGCGGGGGCAGCCGCCCCGGTCCCCGCAGCGAGCGGCGGGGAAGGCGCCGGTAGCGCCAACGCGGCCCCTTCAACGTGGGACTAAATGCGCGCGATGGGGCGGGCAGGGGCTGCCCCCCCGCCGCAGCCGCTATAATTTAATCCGYCCCGCTCAGCCCCTCCTCGGTGCTTTATTAGTCCCTGCTTGGCTCTGTTATTAATATGACTGTCTGGGCACCGTCCCCGAGATCTGATCGCGCATGAAATATTGGCCTCCGCTGACGATCGCTGTTCCCATTATCTCCAACATTACCCGGTGATAATGACAGAAAAATAAAATAACCCCCTCCCAGCCCGTCCTAATGAGGCTGGCGGGCCGGGGGGTGGCAGTGACGGTGGGGACGGGGACGAGTGGCGGCCACACGGGAGCAAGGACCTCTCTGCCTTCATCCCCTGCAAGAGCGGCTGCCCTTGGGGGCTGTGGGGCGATGGAGCGGACACAGGGGCCAGGGGGACGTGGGGAGGGAGAGGACCATGTGGRCAGGGGGGTAGGTGGATGGAGGGGACATGCACTGGGGACATCGGTGGATGGAGGGGACCATGTAGACAGAGGTGACATTGGGATCCAGGAGCGGAGAGTGGAGGATRTGGTCGGACTGGGGGGACATGGGAATGGAGGGGACATGTGGGGTCAGGGACAGGAGGGCTGGGGGTGGACACATGGGTTGGGAGATGGAGGGGACGGGTGGATCAGGGGGAACGTGGCTGGAGACCGTGTTGTTAAGGGGACATGTGGATGGAGGGGACAYGTGGACAGAGGAAGCGGCACCCGCGGGGCTGGCCAGGCTCAGCACCCTGTCCCCAGTGTCCCGAGYGCCCAAGCGCCGCTTGTCACCGCGTCTCTGCTGGGGACACCCCGACACCGGCTCTGCCTCCCCCCTCAGAGGCTGCGGGGCCCAGCGGCTGCTCTAGCTCACCTGGCAGCCTGCAGCTTAATTAGCAATTAAGGGGCCTTCCATCTGCTTGGGGCCTGGCGCTGGCTCCCCTTTAACGACCTCGCTGACAACCATTTGGCTCCATTAGCGCTGGGCTCTGGGGAGGCCGAGCTGGGTGCCCGGTCCCTCCCTGCTCCCCTGCCCTGGCCCTGCTTGGCCCAGGCCTCTCTGCTTCCCCACGTCCCCCCTTCCCATGTCGCTCCATTCTGTGTCCCTCCTTCAGCTCCAGCCCTGCAGCCTCCAGTCCCTCCATCCTTATGTCCCTTGTCCCTGCAGCCCCGCATCCTTCCATTGTCCCTGCATCTCTATCCTTCCATCTTGCCATCCGTCTGCCCCTCCCCTCCACGTCTCTCCATCCTTCCGCTCCTCTGTCCCCTCCATCCCTCTGCTTTTGCACCCTCCATTGTCCCCGTGTCCCTCCTCCGCTGCACAGGCTGCTCTGCCGGTGCCTCCATCCCCTCCGGGCTCCACGGGGCAGGGAGGAGGCCGGGATCGGCCTTCCCGGCCCCAGGGGCAGCCGCGGGTGCCTCAGTGGGGGCCGCCGCCGGCCTCGCTCCTGGATCCCTCGGAAGCAGCTCCGGCTCYGCGTTCCCGGGGGCCGCAGCTGCTGCCGGTGACCTGGATGGTCCCCTTGGAGCCGTCCGTAGGGGAGCGGCAGCTGCTCTGCGTGCACTGGGGGGGCCCCGAGCCCCCCAGCCAGGGCCTCCCGCAGAGCTCCACAGGTGTCACGAAGCGGACAGGCCTCAGGCAGCTGCTGGGTCCTCCGGACACCTCGMGGGGCCCACGGGGGCTATTGCACCTCGTGTCCCCGGGCCCCGGCTGCCGTCGGGAGCGACCGGCTCCCCGCAGCCCCCCCGCGCAGCCCCCGCCCCGGCCCCGGGCGGCCCCATCCATCAGCGGCGACAGCCGGGGCGGCGGCGCAACCGGCCCGCGGCTCTCGCGCYGCCCCCGGCCCCCTCCCGGGGGGGGCTGTTTTCCTTCCCCCCTTTCCCTTTCTCTTCCCCCCTCGCCCCGCTGACAGGCCGGGGGCCGGGGCCATCCATCAAGGCGGCCGCCGGAACCACCTCTCCCCCCCGCGCTGATGAGGCCCCTTCCCGGCCCCCCCGCGGCCCCCGCCGGGGGACGTGGGCGCAGGGGGACGGGACCGGGGCCACCGCACAGGGGCCGGGGGACGCGCAGGGGCAGCCGGGGGGGGTCGGTGCAGCGACCCGCCCCCCTCGCCCCCCCGCCAGCTCCCGGCTGAGTGACGGCTCCGTGGCCCCTCTCGGCCCCGCTGTCCCCTGGGGCCGATGCCCCTTTGCCCCCCCCAGCCCCGGGGCCACTGGGCAGTGGCAGCGCCTTTGTCCCCGTGTCACCCGCGGGGGCACCGGCTGTCGGCGGGGTTGGCGCTGCCTTCCTCCTCCTCCTCCTCCTCCTCTTTGTTCTCCTCTCCCGCCTTCCGTGGCCAGCTGCTCCTCATGACCCCGACACCCCCCGTGTCATCCCTGCCATGGTGACACCCTGGCCATGGCCGCGTCCCCCCCCTGCGGCTTGGGGACGCTGCAGTGTCTAGGGGGGGGAGTCCAGGTCCTGGCTGTGGTGCCCAGCTGGGCTTTGCCCTCCCTCCCCGGGGCTGCCCAGGGGCTTTGGGCACCTGGAGATGGGTGGGTGGCTGTGGGGACCACGTCGGGCTGTCCCCACCGTGGGGACACGTGTCCCAGCCACCCCAAAGCCCCAGGGTCCCGGGGGGGCGGGGGCGCTCTGCAGGCTGCTCTCCCAGCTGGCCCTTCCAAGAGGACCCAGGTGTCCAAGTGGCAGCGGTGACGACACCATCACTGCTGCTGGGACACCCCCAATCTGGGCGGCTGGGACCCAGCCAGCACAATGGCAGCTTGGGGACATCGGGTTGTCACTTGTCCCTGGCCCTGAGCCTCCCGTGGCCCTTGCAGCTGTGGAGCTGTGGGGCAGAGGGGGACACCAGGGCCCCACTGCTGSCTGTGGGGTGGGGTGCGTGGGATACTGGGGGCCCTGGTGCCACG